TACCAACCGTGTGTGTGTGTGTGTGTGTGTGTGTGTGTGTGTGTGTGTGTGTGTGTGTGTGTGAGTCAGTGCTAGGGATGGAGCTCAGGTCCTCATATTTGGACAGCAGGCACTTTACAGGCTGAGCTTTCTCCTTAGAGTACTTCCTTTTTATTCTGTGTTGCCTCTGCTTTTTGGGTTTTTTTGTTTTAAGCTGTCCTTAAAAACTGAGGCATACTCCGTGCTGAAGGCCGGGCTGGCCCCTCACTCAGGGAAAGTGGCCGCAGCTTGAGAACTCAAGTCGCTGTGAATTTTCACTTGGTGCATAGGGTTTTTTGTTGTTGTTGGTTTTTTTGTTTTTTTTTTTGATTTTTCGAGACAGGGTTTCTCTGTAGTTTTTGGTGCCTGTCCTGGAACTAGCTCTTGTAGACCAGGCTGGCCTCGAACTCACAGGGATTCGCCTGCCTCTGCCTCCCGAGTGCTGGGATTAAAGGCGTGTGCCACCACCGCCCGGCGGTGCATAGGTTTTCAGCTCACAGATTTTTGTTGAAGATTAAGTATTAAGATTTGGAGCTACACAGACATCATAGAACAAAGGAAGATTATGTATAAGATGTTTGTGGGTAGTCTTACAGAGAACCTTCATTCCCATAGCAAAAATCTAATGTAAAACATTCTCTTGCCATTTGAAAATAAAAGTAGTCTTCTCAATAAAGCCAGTATGGTGGTACATGTGCTTTCATAACTTTATTCTGCGGAAACCTTAAATAGAGTAATAAGTTGGTTTAAGGTGGAGGAAGGGGAGACCAAAGGCTAGGGGACCAGATGGTCTTACAGAAATGCTCTTAAAAAACTAAGACTTGTGTCTTGATCTGTAATGAGTACCCAAGTCAGGCTCTACAGAACTGTTTTATACTCAATTTCTTAAAGGGGAAAGATCAAAATTTATGAGTAAATTACTGATTTTATTTTATCCTTTTTCCCCCAGCAAAATGGAAGCATGGTGATAAAGGCAAGGAAGAAATGCAGTTTGCGGTTGGTTGGAGTGGCTCCCTGAGTGTGGAAGAAGGGTAGGTGCTACCTGTCAGTCTGTGTGTGAGATGTACAAAATGGGTGTGTTTGTAAATGCATCTATTTCATTGCTTACAAGTTTTATGTGTATGTGTATTTGTGTGTGTGTGTGTGTCCTTCCCAACTTTACTGGTTGTAGAGAAGTATTTGGTTAGTTTTTGTTATTTGTTTTATTGCTCTTATAATTTTTTATAAACCCTAATCTGAATAACATTTTTAAAGACTTATTTATTTAATTTTAAGTATATGAATGTTTTGCCTGCATATGGGCGTATGCACCAAGAATGTGCCTGGTGCCCACAGAAGTCAAATGAGGGTGTCAGATCTGAGCCCGATCCTCTGTGAGAGCAGCTCTTGTTCTTAGTCACTGGGCCATCTCTACAACCTATGAAGAATGTGAGGAAGTTTCAGAAAGCATCTCATAAAATTCCTTTGCATTGGTCTTTCCCTCTGTTCTCCAGCACTAGCTTTGTTTGTCTAGAGAAAGTAAGGTCAGTCGTCCTCCTTTGGGCTTTGTCCTCGCTTGCTTCCTATTGCTGTGATAAACACCATGATCCAAACAAGGTGCAAAGAGTTTATTTGCCTTACAACTGATAATCCATCATTATGTTCCAGGCTGGGAGCGTAAGGCAGGAACTGAAACAAAGGCCATTGAAGAATGATACTGGCTTGCTCAGCCTCTTTTCTTACACACCCCAGGATCACCTCCCCAAGATGGCACGCCTGTAGTGGGCTGGATCCTTCCCCATCGACCATATCAATCTTTAATCAAGAAAATGCCCCCACAGACCTGTCTACAGGCAATCTGGGGAGGCATTTTATCAACTGAGGGTTCCCTTTCCCAGATGACTCGATTGTGCCAGGCTGACAAAAACCAGCCGGCACAGTCTCATACTTAGAAGTAGTGGTATTACTTAAATTCTTAAGCTCTAGAATGCAAGTTATTTACCTAGTAAGTAGAACCATGATTCCCTAGGGTGATTATAAGGTGGACATGATAGCCTGGAGGCTTGAGCTAAACATTATTCTGCGTCAAAGCTGTGATCAGAATGAATAAGAATCTTCTGGAAGGCCAGTCAAACGAGAAGTGCCCCATCCACGCCCGTGCATTGTAGATCTTCAGTGAGATGCTTTCTACTGTCACCAGCATGAGAGAGCTGCCGTTCTCATGTACTCTAAGGCACGTCAGTTCTGTCAAAATGCAAAGCAAATTTACCACCTGAGCAACAACAAGGGAAGATTGACTGCTTCCTGGTTGCTGAGCATGGTCTGTGGAGCTGCATGTATGTTGCCTTGAACAGCTTTTGTGGGTTTGATAGTTTAAACAAAGCCAGTCAGTAGATGTTTAGATTTCAAGTCTTTTTCTCTGAGCCCCTACCAGTATCTCAAGTTCGTATGTTAGGGAAAAGAAATCACTTTAGAGAAACAACCTTTCTATGTACTTAGAAGTAGGTCATAGGGGGCTGGAGAGGCAGCGTAGTAAGACCACTTGTTGCTTCTGCAAAGGCTTCAGGTTCAGCTACTCTAGTTCCAGAGGATATGATGTGATCTTCCAAAACCTCAGGCACCGGGCACATACATGGTGCACAGAATACATGTAGTTAAAACACTTATTTACAAAAAATAAACATCTTTTAAGAAAGAAATAGCTTATTAGGATCAGTGACTTTCAAACATAAAAGAAGAGCCCAACTGGGCAAAATGTCTCAAGTTCCTAAGATAAAACACCCACAGAAATCCAGTAGCCGGTTCCTTCTGCCCTGCACCCACTTCAAACCAAGGAGGCAGGCAGGTGTCTCTGAACTGCAGAAGACAGGGGTGCTGGGGAATGGCTGCCTGGCAACCCTTTGAAATTTTCTAGGTTTTCTGTGCATGATTTATATAAACTTTTTCTTTGTTTCATGTCAATACCAAGTGGAAAAGAACTACTTTTTGTTATGTTGCATGTTATGGATGTGGGTTTTACTGTTTTCAGTTACGTGTCAAATAAAACTGCTCCACAGGGTGTCATCTTCCATTTATTTTCTTTCAATATTAAATTATAGAGAATAAATAATTAATTCTGACGTGGTAGTGTGCACCTTTAATCCCTAGCACTCAGAAGGGAAAAGTAGGTGAGTCTCTCTGAGTTCCAGACCAGTCAGGGCTGCACACACACACACACATACACACACACACTCACTTTATTGCTAAGCACGGTGACTGAGCTCATGATTGTCTTGTTTCTGCCTGTAGGGAGTGTGTGACCAGTGCTCTCTGCATCCCACTGGCAAGCCAAAAGAGGTGAGGATGAGTACAGGCTCTGTGTCTCTTCTGCTTTGATAGCCAAGACGTTACAATCATCAATTTTATTTGTGACAGGAGTTCCACTGGGCGTCCTGACTGGACCTGCATTGTGGTGGGGTTCACATCTGGTTATGTGCGGTTCTACACTGAGGTGAGTTGGGTTTCCAGCAGTAGAGAGCTAGCTGACTGCAGTGCTGTGCATCCATTGTGCCACCTGTGACTTCGTTACCAAGGCTGCATCTGGGAATCTAAGAGGATAGATAGTCTTACTATGAATGCTGAAAATAGTAACTGGTGATTTAGCAGCGGTTCTCCACCTTCCTAACGCTGTTCCTCATGTTGTGGTGATCAACCATAAAATTATTTCGTTGCTACTTCCTAACTGTAATTTTTCTACTATTAGGAATTGTGATGTAAATGTCTGTTTTCCAGTGGTCTTTGGGGGTTGTGACCCACAAGTTGAGAACCACTGCTTTATTGGGTGAAAGAAGGACAGGTGAGAACCGTCTGTAGAAGAAAGAGATTCTGTACACTTGCAAAAAAGAGGACCTGGTGTCCTTGGGATGCTATTGGGAAACGGCACTGTTTGCCTTCTCCCCGTTCGGTCACTGGAGAAAACCAGCAGGGCCCTTTTCTGTGCTTGCTTCTAGAGTGGTGTGCTTTTGCTTGCACAACTCTTGAATGAGGACAAAGTGCTTCAGCTTAAGTGCAGGACCTATGAAATCCCCCGACACCCTGGAGTGACCGAGCAGGTAATGTAAAGATTATCTTCAGACTGACAATGGCGGGGCTGGAGAGAGGGCTCAGCAGTTAAGAACACTGGATGCTCTTGCAGGGTTCCCAGATTCAATTCCCAGAATGCACATAGTGGCTCAAAACCACCTGTAACGTCCAGGGGACCTGACACTCTCTTCTGTCCTCTACAGGCACTAGGCATATATGATACACAGACATACATGCAGACAGAACATCTATACATGTAAAAATCAATTAGAAAAAAGTAACAGTGACATTGTTTTGAAGCAATTTTGTTTGTTGTTTTGCCTGGAAATTGAGAGATTTGTCATGGCACAGTTAGCTGAGCTGGCATAGTCTAGAAATGTAATTTGTAACTAAATAGAATACCAGTCTTTGTATTTTATAAATGAAATTTTGTGTTAAAATGACATCTTAGTCAGTGTTTTATTGCTATGAAAAGACTCCATGACCATGGCAACTCTTCTAAAAGAAAAACATTGAATTGGGGCTACCTTACAGTTTCAGAGGTTTAGTCTGCTGTTGTCATGATGGGAAGCATGGAGGCATGCGGGCAGGCATAGTGCTGGAGAAGGAGCTGAGAGTTCTACATCTGCAGACAGCAGGAAGGGAGAAAGACATTAGGCTTGCCTTGAGCATTTGAAACCCTAAAACCCACTCCCATGTGACACTTTCTCAAACAAGGCCACACCTCTTAATAGTACCTCTCCTTGGTGACCAAGCATTCAAATCTATTAACTGTTGGGGTCAAACACTACAGTGACTAACTTAGGGTGGAAATATATTAATGAAACTTTGTATCTTTTAAATTTTAATTCAATGTCAAAATTACCTATTGTAAAACAAGTGCTTGTCTCACAGTAAAACAGTAACCACAGCACTATTGAACCAGCATGCTTTTGGTCCATTTATAATATACCAGGTTGAAACTTTATAACGAATCTTAGTTTTTGCGCTACTTAGTTCCAGAAGATTCCATGTTAAACAAAAATACTGAATGCATACATGAACTTAAATTGTGCAGTAAGTTACAGGAGTTATAGAAAAAGCACTCCAGTGTGAGAAACTAGATTTTGTCTGTCAGCATCTAAGAATGAATTAATCAATAACATAAACAGCTAGTCAGTCATACAGTCAAGATAAACTATACCTTTAGGGAAGGGTGAGCTGACTGCCGAGAGGAGGAAATTCCTGGGGTGAGGTTTGCTGTGAGCTCAGGGTAATGGGCTGCAGTTTAATTGGTTAGTGGAAGAAGAAAATGGTGTGGGAGGTGATGTATGCTGTGAATTGTTTTTTTTTTAAAATATTTATTTATTTATTTATTTATTATGCATACAATATTCTGCCTGTGTGTATGTCTGCAGGCCAGAAGAGGGCACCAGACCTCATTACAGATGGTTGTGAGCCACCATGTGGTTGCCGGGAATTGAACTCAGGACCTTTGGAAGAGCAAGCAATGCTCTTAACCACTGAGCCATCTCTCCAGCCCCTGCTGTGAATTGTTTTATGGCCATTGGTTAATAAAGAAGTTCTTTCAGCCAGTGACTTAACAGAGTAAAGCCAGGCTGAAAGAGATATAGAGAGAGAATAGGCAGAGTCAGAGAGAAACCATGTAGCCCCACCAGGTGGAACTTTACCCAGTAAACCACAGCCACGTGGCGATGCACAGATTAATGGAAATTGGATAGTTTAGGATATAAGAGTTAGACAGAAATACGCTTAAGCTATTGGCCAAACCGTATTACAAATAATATATTTTCTGTGTGATTATTTCGAGTCAGGGTGGCCGGGAAACGAACAAGTAGCCTTCCCCTACAAGAAAGGGTTCTATTTCCAGGAGTCAGGAGAAAAGTGAGGGAAGGCTCAAATGTAGAGCTTTCTACATGGTGGCAAAGAAGCCCTGAGAAACTGAGAGCCTGATTGGTAAGCAGAAGAATCAAAGTTTGTCTGAAGGCAGACTTGACTTGGCGCAGAGGAGGGCTAGAGGAGCTCCCGGAGAAGGAATAGGTGCAGCCATGGGCCTGTGGAGCACTGGTTCTTAGACCTCAGTGTGAGAGACTGGAGTCAGGGGTGCCTGTGGGGGTGTGTTTGTTGTTTGGGGGTTTGGCGTTTCTTTGTATAGTTCATGTTGTCCTGGAACCCACAGTCCTCCTGCCTCTGCCTTCCCAGTGATTGTGATTACAAGTGTATTTCATCATGCCCTGCTGGAAATGGGGTTTTTTTAAATTACTGAGGCAGAAGATTGTGTCAAAAAACAAAATTAAATCATATCTATGTCCTTAATAAAATGGGAAAATTAGTTTGGGATGAAGCATAATTGACAAAATGCCTGCCTAGTGTACAAGACTTGAGTTAACTCCTTAGCTCTGTAACAATGAATAAATAGATGGATGGATGGATGATTAGATGAATAGATGAATGAATAAATAAGTAAATAAATAAATAAATAGCCGTAGCATTGGTAATTAGAGGCACCACACTCAGTAGTGTGCTATAGGCCAAATGTGTGTACATTATAAGTAAATAAATAAAATGTGTTTGATAGACTCACGCAAATATTTGTGAGTTTATTTGAGAATAGGTATTGGGACAGGCCTCTGATTTCAAGGAAGCATTTTTAGGTTGTTGAGGTGTTTTGTTTGTTTATTTATTTATTTATTTTTCAACACTGGATTTCTCTAAGTACTCTTGACAGTCCTAAAACTCACTCTGTAGATCAGACTGGCCTTGAACTTGTCTGCCTCCCAAGTGCTGGAATCACTGGAAGCCCTGTGAGCTTCTGTTTTGAACAAGGACTTGCACTCTATAGTGACTGTTTTTCTTGACCTGAAACTAGATTTCTACTCTCACCGTTATCCAGGAACCGTTTCCGACTACACGGGAAACGCATATTGGAGAGGAAGTTGAAGTCTTTGGCCAGAAGGTGCCCTGAAACTAATTCCTGCTTCCTTGTGCCGCTTCCTCTGAGTGCTTTGTGTCTGCAGTTGACCATTCAGTCATAGCCTTGAGCTGAGTGTGCTCCTCACCTGTTGATTTGCTGCGTCTGTTTTTCCTTCTCCCCACACAGAATGAAGAACTGAGCATCCTGTATCCAGCCGCCATTGTGACTATCGATGGCTTCAGTCTTTTTCAGTCCCTCCGTGCTTGTCGGAACCAGGTGGCAAAAGGTAATGTTTTGGCAAGAAGGGTCTGACTTCTGGTGGTGATAGTTCTATTCAGTGTGGCCTTCTCACACGTGTGAGGTGTCTCCTGCAGGGGAGTGCTGTTTACAAGCAGAGACTGGAGCCCCCATGCTGCTCAGATGTGACAGTGGCGTGTGGCAGCCTGAGAGCAGCATGTTTTCTTCACTTAACTCAGAAACATAGCTTGGTTGGGAGAGAGATGGTCTCTAGGCGAGGGTTTGGGTGCAGCTAGCAAACTCTACCTAGATGAGAAGCTCTCAAACACATGCACTAAGTCCTCTGATTCCATTGCCTCCCACTTCACTGAGGATAGAGGCGTCTGTGTATGTTGGCACATGTCCTCACAGGGGAGAGGGCCCAGCAGGTCAGCTCAGCCTCTTTATTTGATACAGTTGTCAATGAAGAGGTGCCGGAGGTCTAAACTTCATGTATGAGGACTTCGTTATGAGGTGCAAACTGCATGGATAGTCAAGGAGCCTCACAGTGGTGATGATGGAGCATGGGGAAGCCAGGGTCAACAGCAAGGGTGTTCCCTCAGCACTCTCCACTTGCTGCTGACTTAATTTGTTCATTCATTCATTCATTCATTCATTCAAGACAAGATCCCCTGAGCCTGGTGCTCACTGGCTCAGCAAGATTAGCAGTGCCATCAGTCACTGGCTTGTTACAGTGTAACTAGTTTCGCCCTGCTGCTGGGGTTCTGTACTGGGGTCCTTGTGTTTGTGTGGAATACTGATGGAGCCATCTTGCCAGCCCCCTGAGAACAGGTCCTTAGGATATGTTTACTGCTTAACAACAACAAAGAACTATTTCCAAGCTAGCTTTACATAAGGTACAAAACAGGCAGTTTCTTCTGAAGGGAAATTAGCCTTCATATACCTTAGTAGACAGATTGTCTCAGCAGTCTGTGATTGGTAAAATGCTCAAGTCCTGGTTTTGTGATTCTTTTTAGTAGTACATCAGGATACTTTGAATTTTTATACCTATTTTCATTATCTTTTATATTGTTTAAATTTAGCCCAATATAACACAAATATTTTGAGATTGGTGAAGCAATCACCATTATTGGGAGATCTCAAGTTCAGAATGAACTGTGGTATATGAGTCTTTGCTTAAAAACATAGTCACCATTAATATATTTACCAAAAGAGAATGACAATATTTTGTAGGTAAGAATTTTATTTTAAAAACTAGCAAAAGACAATTGTGTTAATGGTATTGTCAGCCTTTTTTTTTAAATTTTAACCACAATCTCTATTTATTTGTTGTGTGTAAGACCATGATAAAGTCTGTTCTATTAGCCAGGCAGTAGAGGTCAGAGGACATCAATAGTTACCTCAAACCTCTGTCAGCACCCAGGTTTACAGAACAAGCTGAAAGCCAGGACTCGGGCAGTGTTGAAGTTTTGCTGTTAGGAGAGGTTGCTCGTTTGTGGCATTGAGCTCTTTCTCCTGTTGGGCAGCTGATGGCTTACAGGCTGCTGTAAGTCTGTCTGCCGTAGGCAAAGACACTGCTCGCTCAGGACCAGGGTCAGCAGGGTCTTTAGCAGTTTCATTTTTGTGTCTGTTGCCATGGCAGGAATAAATCTCATTTTATGCACTTTTCATTACTGTACTTTCTTGTTAGTGGACATTTTAGAACAGCAAATTATATATTAGATTTTTTTGATAAAACATTCTATGCATTATAATGTCTGATTTTTATTTTTGATAGCTGCAGCATCAGGCAATGAGAACATACAACCACCACCGTTAGCTTATAAGAAATGGGGTCTACAAGATATTGACACTATTATTGATCATGCTAGTATTGGTAAGTATTGCTAGTTCTATCTTTATTCTTATACTTTTCTATTAAAGCTTGTAATTTATTAGAATTGACATTTTATTCCTATGTGGGAAAATCCATTGCCTTTAGTGAGACACTGGGAAGTTAGTTCCGACTTTTTTTTTAGCTAGGTTTATGTCTTTAAGATAAAGTAGCAGGATCTTTTGGGTTTTTTTGTTTTGTTTTGTTTTGTCTTAGTTTGTTTTTTCAAGACAGGGTTTCTCTGTGTAGCTCTGGCTGCTCTGGAACTAGCTCTTGTAGACCACGCTGGCCTCATACTCAGATCCATCTGCCTCTGCCTCCTGAGTGTTGGGATTAAAGGCGTGCACTGCCACCACCTGGCTAAAGTAACAGTTTTAGTAAAGACTTAATTACACCCTCAGCATTAATATTGCAGTTGTCAAGTAGTCTCTCACTGTTTTGATGTATTTATCTACTGACACTCTGATTCTTGTAATGATCTTACAGTGGGCCAACAGAACATATATAAAGCAGATTTCTTCTCATGACAGTATTTGGGGGCTTATTGTGTTATTTTTCAGAAATATAGAGATCAAAGAGACTGGATAGGCTGGTGCATACCTGTCATCTCAGGACTCCAGGCAGGATTGGGAGTTTGAGGCCAGGCTACATTATGTAAAACTCATAGATAGACAGACAGATAGATATAATACAACATACATACATAGGAAAGAAAGGAAGAAAAACGAAAACAAAGCAGAAATAAAGAGATGAAAAGTCGTGACTGTCCAGAAGCACAAGGCTAATTAAAGGATCCATGTAAGAGTAGACAGCTGTAGTAGGAATGAAGGAGAAAGAGAAAGCTCTAGCACTGAACACCTTGACCTAATCTAACAGTACAAGAACAAAGCCTCTAGTCAACATACTTGTTGGCTCGCAGCGAGTTGCAGAACATGATGGAGAAACAGTGAGTGCCAAGTGAGCTGGTAGAGTTAAGGGCAGAGAGCCCTTCTCAAACTTAGAGATAGTGACTAGAATCGGCAGCTGGGGAGCAGGATGACTTCCTCAGGGGTCACAGCCAGCTTTCAAGGAAGGAGCCAGGGAAAAGATGTCCCATCTTCATTCTCCTTCTCTCTCTGGTCTCCTCTTGGGACTCCCATTGTCTGAATTCACTCAGAAGTCAGCAGGAACTGTTGAAAGTCTGGTCTGAGAAAGGCAGGAACTGTGTGAGGGCTGACAGAAGGCTGGCACACAGACCTGCTGACTCTGTCTGCACAGCCCTGTATAGAACACATTCTTGTGTGAAATACTCTAACAGATGCCTTTTTGATAAACAGTTTTGTGTGTCTTCAGTTTTTCGCTAAGAGAAATGCTAACATAAAATTCCCAAAGTGTTGAGTTCAGCCCAGGGTCTCCCTCCCTGCTCTGGTAATTAAACTTTGGAATATCGAAGCTGGCTGGGGAAAATGACTGGATAGAAAACACTGTTCTATTCATTTACTCCCCAGCCTACAAATGAAAAAACAAAAGGTACAATAAGTTTATATTATGTACATCTTTATGTAAAGTCTTAACTCGTTTATAGTATATAAATACCTATGATTCTCTAGGTAGCAGTGCAGACCTTGCCCCGAGAAAGCTTGCATTCTGGACTAGAGATAAACACAACTAAATGACTAACTGGTGCTTAAAAACACTGGTTGGCTTTGTAGAAGAACTCAGTAGGGGGGGTTATGCTCTAGAGCAGTGGTTCTCAGCCTGTGGGTCGTGACCCACTTCACAGGGGTTGCATATCAGATAGCTTGTATGGCAGATATTTACATTTTGATTCATAACAGTGTAAAAATTACAGTTATGAAGTAGCAATGAAATAATTTTATGGTTGGGGTCACCACAGCATGAGGAACTGTGTTAAAGGGTCTCAGTGTTTGGAAAGCTGAGAATCACGGCTGTAGATTAAAGGAAGTGCTTAGACAGACTGCTAAGAACAGGCATCTCCAGAGAGCACAGCTGGGTTGAGACAGGAAGGAGGAAATGGAGCAGCTGCAGGAAAGGAATTTGTAATCAGAGCATTCTTAGCAGAGGACACAATACGAGTTCTGAGGACCCCAAAGACCTGAAAGGTTTTGAGAAGCAAGGGAGGTCAGCATGGCTTGATAGTCGGAGTGAGTGTGATAAAGGAAGTCAGGTTGGAGATGTGCAGAGGACAGAGCTGAAAATAAGGAAGCTGAATCTTATTCTCAATTTGTGGGTTCAGACAGCCAGAACTCTGTAGAGAGGCCCTGTCTCAAGTAAACAAAGACAAAAGTACCCCTTGAGTGCTCTTTAGAGACAGCTGTGGAGGGGGGAGCAAAGCCAAGGGAGTACTTTTGGTAATGCCGGCCTGTGAGAACCGTGGACCGAGAGCAGAAGCAGTAACATGAAGCGCGTTGTACAGTTGCCCAGGTATGAGTTTGAGAAGTGAGAGAAGAGGACCCAAGGAGCCACCCCACCCGCCATCCTAAGTGATAGGATCACAGGTGATGTCTTCACTGTGTAGTGTGAGCCGCTGGGTGGAGGAGCAGGTTGTTCACTGACAGGAGAATGAGGAAGATAAGTAAGGAGGGAAAGTCGAGAGTTACGTTTTTACGTGTTGACTTCTGGCAAAAGCACATTCTGGAGAGCATGGAGCAGGCAGGCAGGCGTGTGATCTGGGGTCAGAGGCAGTTGGGACTGCAGGTACAAATGGTTTGGGAGTGCTGTGAAACACCAGCATTGGATACAGCACGGACCACTGGATTTGGCAGCTTGGAGCTCTCCATTGACTTGGGTATTTGGAGGGGAGAGGAGAGAACAGAAGTCAGACTGGGGTGGGTTTGTTTCACAGTAAACAAATAAGAACAAGAAATAAAATGACAGCGTCTCCACTCTGGTCTCCAGTGCTGACC